CCTCTACTTCCTCCGAAAATAAATCACCACGACAGGTACGAATTCTTCTCTCTTCTTTATCTCGCGCGATTTAGCAGGGTTATTTTTAGTTATCTGCCGATAAATCGTGTTTCTGATGTTACGATCGCGTTCCGATCACTATTTCTTTACTTCGCTTCTTTTTTCATTACGTACCAAGAATGGTGGCTCTGAAATGGACGAGCTTGTCAGGGCGTGACACATATCTAATTTTCGTCGATTGCCGCAAAACCGACGCAGTGAGCCGTGATAATTCATGATGGGCCTGTCCGATTAAACATCGGGGCCCGCGCGCCTCCGACAAATCTGTTTCCGCCACGACAAAAACGAGTGTCGGGTATTTTCAGTTCCAGCAGAACTCCGGTCTCTGTCTCTCTCTCTGTCTCCCTCTTGCTACTCATTCGCTCGCGGCAGTTACGTGACATTACAGCGACGTGACCGATGTCGCTTCGCGCGAGAGCGATTCTCGTGTTCCACCATCGTGGAACGTGACACTGAATAACGAACGGTTGTTCCAGTTGTGAAGTATCGACGTAAAAGAGCGCGTTTGTTTCTAGTCGCACGCACTTCTGTGTATATAAATAAACGCTTTTCGCGCGGCTATCGCCGGCACGTCGTAACGCGGGACTGCTTAATGAGTCATCGACGAGGCGTCGCGACGGCGTATGTTGCTGACGTAGGTTCCGAGGACACGACGCTGCGTTTTGCTGAAGCTCTCGTTGCGTGTGGCACTTGCGTGCGTGCGTACACCACCAAACCGCTTCGTTCGAACAAGAAATCTCAAACGCGTGCGAAGCGCACGCCGAGTCGCTAATTCGAGCGGAGAAAGGCATCACGGGGCTGAGGAACGGAACGAGGATGAACGACGAACGTGAGTCATGCGGCGTGCGCTTCTCCTCGAACACATTGTCGTCACCAGGGACGTGGATCGTTCTTGTTTCTCTCGTTTCTGACCCCACAGCCCGGTATTCTCGCCTTTGAATCAACACTTTGTCTACCGGCACCGCCGCTGCTGCACTTGGCTTTGATAAGATTCCGACACTTTTTTCTCGACGCTGTTCGGAACGCGGTCGATGTCTAATGATAGATCTTAACTTCTGGGAATTATTTATAGAAGTTCCATTGGACATCGGGGCTATGTTTCAAATTCCGTTGAGAAAAAATTGTTCAAACTGTATTAATCCTCCGCTGGCAATGTGGGGATTTGAAGGCACAGTTGATTCTTTGATTATGAATATTAAGATAATTGGTAAATAGCGGGATTCGGTATCACCTTCAAAAAACTTAGGGATAGTGAGATTATATATGTGTACGTCAAAAATATCCATCTGTTCGTCTTATAATAAAGACAGTTAAAATAAAAGTTTGTGTTTTTTGCGATTCAGCTGTGGAGATCATGTAAATATATATAAAAAAAGTGCGGGACTCGAGTAAATAATTATCATAATATTCTAGTAAATTTTTATTATAAATAATATTTATTTGATCCAAATAAAGTAATTCTTAAGTAATTTATTTAAAATGGGATATATTCTGAGCTAAAGTTCAGTCGATTCTCTCCACATGTTGATTTTCTCCACATATCGATGATTCATTAATACAAAATGACGCGAAATTGTCACGATAAAATAGAGTTTAATTTTAAATTATCAAGTATATGAAAAATTACGTGATATGTATATATATTTATGTAATTTTACAGGTAAAACACCGTATGTTATCTACACATGTTCTAATTCATATTCTAAAGCTAGAAGAGACGGTAGACAAGCCCGAACCGCTCTGTGTGCGTAAACCGACGCCACGGCAGTGTTTGCGTAAATCTGCATCTCCGATTGCGACAATAATGGCGAGCCTACGCGCGGATAAACGTCGCCATTCTGTGTACCCTCAGTGTCTCGACGTATCGTCGTTAAATTCCGGGTGAATTATTATACGCGATAAATCGCGTAACGTGGCGTATGCACGCGCGCGCGCGCGAAGGGCGCGCTTAATAAAACGCACCGATTCGCCTCATTTGCTTTCACTCGGCCTTAGGTCGTTACACTGCGGCTTATCTTGTCACCCGTGTGATATCGTCCCGAGTAGGCGTGAATGTACACAATAACGAGAGAAAAAGAAAGAGACGAGTGTCCGGTGAAAAAGAAATATGACGCATCGTCGTGTCGTGCATTTAAAGTGAAAGAAAAGAAAACCAATAACGAGTTCGCGACACATTTCGCTACTTCTTTCATCCGACTTGAATATTCATTGTCGAGGGGATAGAGAGAGAGAGAGAGGGAGGGATCCTTCTGCGGAAAATAAATGAGAGCTGTACAAGCGCGAGAGTTCGATCGCATCGCTTGTTTTCTGCATATCGTGATTGAGAGTCTGCCATTCCTCAAAGAGAAAGAAGGAAAATCGCGGTCGTGGTTTTATCACGCGAAGGGCGACGGGGTAGTTGGAGGGAAGTCGTGAGATGAGATGAGTTAGGCCGACAACAATGCAAAGAAATCCCGGAAAAATTGGTCGCCGAGCTACGCTCTGATCAAAAGGGCCTTTGAGCGTGCCGGAGTAGACTACCCGGTCACTATTTTCCGTTCCTCTTTCATCCCGCACGGGACGAAAATATACACGGCGGCGCCGGTTTCAGCGCAGACGCCGCTGAAATAAGACGCCGGGATGCGCGGAAAAGTTTCGAAAAAAAAGAGGGGCGAGAGGATGGGGAAGGGGGGGGGGGGCGAAGAAAAACGTGCCGCCGAAACGAGAGACACACTAGTCTCGTGCACTACTTCCGGGCTGCTCCGCTTTTGAAAGGAGATTTCAACGCGAGACGCGCACCGGCCGCTAACAAAGCACCGTTGGAAGAGAGTGACGCCGTGTCCCGTAAAGTTAATCAGCTCGCTCTCTTTGTTTTTTTTTTGCTTTTTCATCAATGCGTAATCGTATGGGGAGAAATAACATGGACGGGATCGAAGATAAAGAGAATTGCTCAAATGTAAATGTTGCGCTTGAAGAGATGACAGGTATTTTGTTAGATCCGATTTTGTAGGCAGAAAATTAAATAATCTCAAATTAAGGATAAATATATAAGCAAAAATATTATAATATTCTTAGAAGATTTTTAGCCTTGAATTGTAGTTGAGTTCAAGTAATATACAATAATACTGCCATCAATACAAATTCAATCAAATCGAAACTAAAAATCTTCTTAAAAAATTATCATATTCTAATATAAGAGAATATCTATTCTTGATTTAAGACTAATTTTTTTTTTCTATGTAGCAACATCCGATTCGAGTGTATTATCTTCACTTAATAACTCTTTTATTTTCCATATAAAAAATAAAAAGGTTTGTCGGGTTTTATTTCTATTATAAGTACTCGGAAATGTGGAGATGTCGTGGATGAAAATTTTCAAATATTCTCACGTATCCATTTCCCGGCTTTCCGTAATCCACGAATTTACCTGCGAAAATCTGGAGTCACACTTTTATCTTCGGCTCGTCTCTCCGCCGCAAGCGAGAGAAGGCGTATTACGGTGTGGCGTATCGCTTGGATATAAAATGGAACAGTGCAGCACAGTATTCCGCAACGTGTTGACGTAGTTGTTAACGTAGTACGGAATACCTCTCGAGAGTAGCGTCCAGCGCGTGCGTGCGTGCATGCGTGCGAAAGAGAGCGTGTACATGCATTCTGACCCAATGCGTCGTGTCGGCTGCCATTGCGTTCGTTCACTCTTTATAAATAGAAGCTTTAAATTCTGTCGTGACTCGGGCGTGGCTGGCCAAAGGGATCTACGATAAACCCAGTCACGAGATGCATACATCATTCAACGCGATCCGCTCGTTTCTCCCTCCCGCCCTCTCGCGCGGCGCCGCTGATTCTAACACGGAGTCCACTTTCATCTTATTTCACATAACATTTACCGCGCTCACCATTAAGTGGTATAGCGTTTCATGTGCGACTTCCGAGTGGAAAATTAGTAAAAGAAAATAGTCTCTCGCTTCTTTTCATCCCCTTCTCCTTCTTAAGGAAAAAATTCAGATTTTATTATTGAGTTGTTCGAAATAAATTCGTAGGTATTCGTAGGGATTTTCATGAGAAATTCAAAGCCGATATTTTTATAATTATTAACTTTATTTTTTTATATATAATTATTACATCTATTTTTTATAATTATTACATTTATTTTTTATAATTATTATTAATTTAATTTTCCATAACTTTATTTTTCATTTTTTCGTTGACTCCACTCTTTCGATTTTAACAAGACGTATCGTCTCTCTGAAAAACGGTCAATACATTATTGAATAAAATTTTGTTTAACTGTAAAAGTATCAGCTTGGAATTTTCCATAAAAATCCCTCTACGAACTTACCGAACAGTCCAATAATAATATTGGTCTCAGGGGGCAGTCACTTCAGAAATTATGTCTACAGCCACTCAAACTACTGTTTATTGCGCCTCCTCTTAAATCCAGATCTTAAACAATTTTATCATTTTTTGGAGTTAAAATATCTCCTCCTCGTTTATTTACGGTCTCAATTTAATACCGAATGATGTTAACGAGATGAAGTTGAAGCGGGAAATATTGTTCCCGCTGTCATGCGACTCTATAAAGTTTGACGTTCGATATTTCGTGTATAAATCTCGATGAAGCGACGGGAACGTCCTTTATGGCCATTATGTATCTCTGGTCGACTTAGCGTCGTGCCGCGACCTCGAATTGGCACGCCTGAAAATTTAAGCCGAGCATAAATTCCGGGGAAAGCTCCCTGTCTCGCTAACGTATCGGCATTGCATAAATCAGTCGGGATTCGCCGAACGAGTGGGTAGTAAGTTCACGCGAAAGCGCGATCGGCACAAGTACGATATTATTCCGTTGACCTGTTGTGACCGCGTGGACGCTCGTGTCGCTTCTCAGTATGTTGTTCGTTTCTTTGTTATTTCTCGCCTGTGCGCCGTCGATTTTAACAAGACGTATCGTCTCTCTGTTGCAGATACTCGGTGCACGTGTACACGAGTCACGACTGATATGCCGCTCCTTCTATAAGGTAATTATAGATCATATATGTTGTCATTATTAGCCAGCGTAATTAAATAAAAGACAGTTAAAAATACGCTCGACTCTTTTGATCTTTCTGAAATAATTACATATTTCATATAGAAGAAAATTCTTTTTCTAAATTTCTACGTTATTGCTTTCGCAACATATCTTAACTCTAGGTATGCACACTTATTTGTCGTATACGTGGAGTTATCATACAGAAAATTGAGGAGAGGAGGCTACCAATCTTTTCACCATAGTACTCGAGAAAATCACCGTATTGTGATTAATTTTTTTTCATCGGTTATAAATGAACTGAAAAATACGTCTATTCACTTAGAAGTAGTACAAAATCATAACAAATACCGAAAAATATGCGTTTAAAAATATTAATTATTCTTTAATCTAAGGGAAACGTCATTTCACCGTAGTTACTTGAAAAATTCGTAATTTTATTGTTAACAGAGGTAAACACAAATTTTTTTGATTTTAAAAAGATACATTTCAAGCTACCAAAAATTTGACGATTAAAATTTCGATTATTAACAAAATTACAAGGTTTAAAAAATAACGAATCTTCAAATTTCCGTTTTCTGGTGGTTTAACAGACTGGTATAAAAAATTAGAATTTATGTTAAAAAATATGAATTCAATGATTTATAATACATGTTTATTTGTATAAAAAATATGAGTAAAATAAAATATAAGAAAAAATAAAATAAAAATTCGTTTACATATATCTTTATAAATTTTCGGTACATTTCTCGTATACAATAATGATCGGTTAGATTTACATCAAGAAATTTTGCATCGCGGATGTAAAATTAGGATTAATATTCTTCTGTAAAAATTCGAAATTCAAGGTACGAATCGAAAAGAGGCGGAAATGCGATTCATATACAGATGTTGCTCGCCGATTGTTCTCCACCGAAATGCGGCGAAATACGCGCGCGCGAGCACCGCGACATTTATTTCGTTCGCATTCTGACGCTCCCCCAGATGCCTGCGCGATGAGAGAGGATCGATGGCTCGTCGTGGATGGTCGCTCGACTGTAATTGTTCCGGGGAACCGGAAGCGCGTAATTACGTCACGTATCGAATGGAAAATTGTGCGCTCGTTGTCTCTCTCTTTCTCTCTCTCGGAGCCTCCATGCATTCCGGGATGCGCAGCGATTCCAGGCATGCGTATTCGCTCTCCGCGCTGGAAGCCGTAAACATTTTATGAACCGTTGATAGAGATCGTTAACGTTCGCAAGGGTGATTTGTTTGTTACGACACCAGTCTCGCAGTTACACTGAGTAAAAATTAATCAAGTGAAGATAAGCGAAACGTATCATTGTCGTTGTATTATGTGAAAATAAATAAAAAAATATCATTTGTTCGTATTTATAAGCAAATGAGTTCCGTGATAGAAATGTATGCAGTTTTCTTAGACACCCATCTAATTACTGTCTAGTATTAATGTATTCTCATTAATTATAACAATATTGCTTAGGAAATGCATAGGAACTTAATAGAGTTTTATTTAGAGATACTTCTGCTCACTTCATGAGCAATATAGGCATATGAGTAATAGGCTTTAGTAATCAATTGAATAGTTTTTTCATCCATTTATTGTTTTCTTCCAGTAAAATGGGTTCAGATTTTGTGCATCTTTTATGCGCACTAACTGTGGAAAGAGCGTTTCATCTTGATTGGGATTCTAAGTACTCGTATGGAAATTTCCTAAATATTCCCATGTATAGATTCTGATCAGATTACCTAAACTTATCCTAAATAAGTGTAACATATTACAATTAAGAATCTCATTTTTATCCCATTATAAGAAAATTTTAAGAAAATGCTGGAGAGCAAGTAGAATTTGTCTGGGTTTCCCATTTAGAATTGCAACTTTATTTATTTGATTAATCGGTTATTTGGATTTACAGTCCCAATTAGATCCCATCAAATTTCCCTTATGGGAAACTAGATAGATTCCATTTTCTTTCCACAACTTTTTAATATTTTACTTTTTCAACGTAAATATATGCATAAATAGGAATAGAGATCTATAAAATATAAAATAGAAATCTAAAAAAAAAGGAAATTTTAGATAAACGCAGGGCAGAGAATCTGTCTGAGTTTCTCAGAATCGCACTTTTGAAACATTATATCTTTAATCCGAATCTTCATAGGTTTCCTAATCAGAATTTATCATTTTTCGGAATAGATTCTAATTTCAATTGGAAAATCTCGATTCAAAAAATTGGATCTCAAAATACTTCTTATGCGGGTAGTTTTATTCCTCAATTATTAAACAGAAGTTGATAAACTATCCGATAAAAAATACATGAGATTTCAACCAGAGAATATATTTACGTATAATTATGCTCACACCTTCAATTTATACGATAGCTAAACTCGAAAAAAATTATCCACGCGGTTACGAGTCAAGAAAACGCATCGGCGATCAGACTCCCGATAGCGTGAAATTTATGTAATGTTCGTGGAACAATAAAAATTCGCTTATGTAACGCTTATCGACGAGCTATTTGCTGACGGACTCGCGACAAAATGGGTACGATAGAAAAAATAATTGAACAGAATGTTAATATTAGCATGAAAGGTGGACATGACATAATAGCATTAACTAGTAGGTCCGCATGTTTACTTGTTGCGCAGCCGGCCGGCTCGCGGATCTTTGAATGAAGAAGGCGGATATCTCGGCTCGCATAACGTATGAACTTTCCCACCGTGTTCTCGGTGATTTCTCCGGAGCCGGCGAAATTACGCCGGCTGCTGCATTCTCGAGTGCTTGCACGCGCGCGCGACATTCGTGCGCTCGAGTGAACGTCTTTAAGAGTCTCGACATTAATTCCGGGGTTAACGCGTGTCATCCTGGAAGCCGGTGCCAAGGCCGTTGGACTATTGACAAATTTACTTCTTGAGTGACGACGTGATCGATTCTTCGCGCCACGTAACCGCCACCTCCGCGTGCAGGGTATTTCTAAAATTGCGGCAACTTGAGATCCGATTGCCACGTCGCGACGTTACGCGCTCTCGACGTCGTCGAATGCGGTGCGTTTCTTTTTATTTTGCGCATTGACGTCGAACGCGATATCATTATGTTATGTAAATGCAACGCAGAATCGATATATACGTCTTTATTAAGCGCTGCTATCAATCAGAACTGGGCACAATATAATTCCACTAATGATTACCGAGTAATCAAATTTGTGATTGATGACTAAGATTATTGAATAATCGTGATGGATGAATGGCGCGAGTAAGCACGGCGAAATGATTATCGGCCGTGATTTGACTTATCACTACGGTTATTAGAGAAGATCACGTTCTTAATTACGATTCATTCAATGCGAAATAGCGAAATGTTAAAAAAGAACTGAAAAACTTGTGAAATTTGTGTTTATTAATTAATCAAAAATTGTAACAATAGTAAATAACTGGCATGAACAATCATTGTCAATTAGCGGGATACATAGAAAGAACTGAAAACCTCATGAAATTAATGTTTATTAATTAATTGGAAATTATAATAATAATCAATAATTGACATGGAAACTAACACTAGTCTGCGAAAACTTGCGGATGTAATGAGATTAGATCATTTTTATTAATTTTTCTGAACACGAATCCATTTTCCAAATTTGGTTATCACCTCACAATTTGAAGAAAAATGACATCAAAGAAGGTAAAAGCGACGATTCGAGGGTTTCCATTGTGTTGTAGCAGCAAATTGTTTTTCTAAATATCGTTAACGCTACGGTGAAAGTATATACTTTCAGCTTTAAAATGCATTTTGTTCCGATTATATTTATAAATATAAATACAATTGTAATTATATTAATAAAACTCACCTAATCTCGTTACATTCGCAAAAAAAAACATCGATTTTCGCAGGCTATTGTAATTGTCAATTAGTGGAATGTTAAGAAATAACTGAAAAAATTACGGAATTTATATTTATTAATTAATTAGAAATTATAGCAATAACCAATTGACGTAGAAAATAATTATCAATTAATGGAGTGTTAAGAAAGAAATGAAGAATTCACGGAGTTAAAATTTACTAATTAATTAGAAATTGCAACAATGAACAATAACTGATGTGGAAAATAATTATTAATCGGCAGAATGTTAAAGAACTGGAGAATTCGTGAAATTCATGTTTTTAAATTAATTAAAATTTGCAATAATGATCGTTAACTAACATGGAAAATAATTACTAATTAATTGTTAAAATAATCATAAAAGTAAGCAATTTCCGCTTAATCAGGCTGTCATCAACTTTTTGATCTCTACAAAGCGATACTTCCGAAATAATTTTCCTAGACTTTAGTTCCACTTTGTATTAGGTTGGTGCGTATGAAATGTCGCATTCTCTTTACATGCGGACGTTTTCCTCCCTGTTTTCGTTATACTTTTGTATTTGGCATAACCTCATTCATACTCGTATTGTCCATTGCCAGAGACTCATTTCAACAAAATAGGTTTTCTCGAAGGTCTTCCCTTTTTTATTTCTTTTGAGTTTATTACCGATATGAATTCTGCCGACATTCGCGTCATTTTCTTATATGAGTACAAACTTGGTAATAGTGCTGCAAAAGCTGCACGCAACATAAACCAAGCGTTTGGGGAGAATACGGTTAACAATCGGAAAGTGCAGCGTTGGTTCGAAAAATTTCGGACTGGCGATTTTTCACTGCAAAATGAGCCGCGCGGAAGACCCAAAACGTCTGTGAATAATGATGACCTGAAGGCTCTAGTGGAAGCGGATCCAGCCGTATCCACGAGGGAACTTGCTATCAGGATGAAAGTTGACCATACAACGATATTGAGACACCAAATTGTACTCCCATCGCTTGTGAATCGGCATGGCCCGCTACTGCTCCATGACAACGCTCGGCCGCACACATCGCACAAAACAATTGCGAAACTGAACGAACTGGAATATGAAGTTTTGCAGCATCCACCATATTCACCGGATCTCTCGCCGACCGATTTTCATTTTTTCAAGCATTTAGAGCTGTTTTTAAGAGGCAAACACCATGAAAATGAAGACAGTCTAAAAAACTCGATATCAGAGTTTATTAATTCTAAAGACCAAAATTTTTTTAAGACAGGCATCTACGCTTTAAAATCTCGTTGGGAGAAGTGTATTGAAGCGAATGGAGCATACTTTGATTGAATAAACAGCTTTTGAAGAAAGATATACAGTTTTATACAATCACTTAAGAATCCGACATTTCATATGCACCAACCTAATAATATCTCAACACATTCGCGTCGAAAGAATAAAAGGAAAAGATTCGAAATGGACGTTAACGTGGTCTCTCATTTCGCAGACGAGACCGACGTGCGTATTTCCGACAATATCGCTCTTTAACGCGTCGGTGCACGTAACGACACCTTAATAAGAACAACCGGCAACGCTAATTTCACTCGGCCGGCACCCCACGTCCCGCGCGTACCAACGGCGGTGCCGAGCTTCGCACTTCGTCGTCGTCATCGTCGTCGTCGTCAGCTGTGCGAAGGTCAGGGTCGCGCGCCAGCCGGGAGGGTGCAATCGATGCACCGCTGCCGGCGCCGCTCCGCGCGCAGCCCTCGCCGGATGCAGTTACCATGGAGACCATCTTCTGACCCCCATTGCTAGAGACCGAGCTCGTCCGCGTACACAGAGGGAGGAAGGAGGGAAGAGAAACCGGGGATCGGGTATCAATCCCTCGTTGGACGTGCGAGAGCGGAGAAGCGCAGGCGGTGTGAGAGAGAAAGAACGAGCGAGCGCGTCGCACCTAATGCGATTCTTCGTCTTCTGCCGGTTCTTCTTCTTTGTCGTCGTCTTCGTCTCACTAAACGCGCGACGTTCCTTGTGGCGCGCGGAATTTCCGCGTTCCTCTACCGCGTCGGCATCGCGAGATATTCCATGGGACAAAAGACGCGCGAGATGAATATCCGCGGTGTGAAAAATGCGCGCGACCGATCGGTGCTCCGTGAGTGAAGAAGAAATTACGCGGCTCGAGCGGTTTACGTTGGAAGAACTTCTGTGTTGACGAAATTACTGTTAATCGGTGGACAAATAGTGGCGAAGATAAGTAGCTAAACGTGGGGTTACGATTAAAGCGCTTATTACAATTACACGTAACACCTGAAACCGCCGCGTGGTGGACGTGAGATAATAAAGATAATAAAAGATAAGCTTAGAACTATCAATGGTAACCCAGATAGATATTAATTACATCGTTCTTTGACCGTACAATGATAACGAGTGATAATTACACCGCTTTATAAAGTGACACGCAAAAATATAACTCTCTCTAATCGCTAGCGGCTAGCGTTCTTTCGACATAATTTGCTGCACTAACGTAATTACGTAGTCGGCCTGTCGTAATTCTCGTCCCCATCGTGGGGGATAAATCACGATACGCTGAGCAGAAGGAGAGAAAGAGAAGGAACGAGCGAACATCCGCGTCTCGCACATGGAATTAAGTTGCGCAAGGTCGGCCGCGAGTCGACGACGAAAGTAAGGTCAGCTGATAGAAATCAATATTCCCCGAATCGTGTGCATCGACGTCACGCGAAAACCACACCTTCGCGCTTGATCCTCGACCCGCGCGAATTAAAGCGACGTGTTTATTAGCGCGAAGAACACAACTGAACGTCATCCCCGTCGCGCTCGTATCGATTCCCGAAAGCACGCGAGATTTCGCGCGAGCGAGGAGAGATGGACGGCTGGAAGAGCTGGAAGAGATCGGAGAGCTCGCTCCTATCGGCGTGGTATCGGCGCATGAGAGAGTCCTACGTTGCACTCTGGTTCTTCGGGGTGTTTCAGAGCGGCAGGATGTCGACGAGCACCGCCTCCGGCGGCGGAGGCGGCGGCGGAGGCGTCGGCGGAGCCCTCAGCCTGATGGGTTGCGTGAGGGAGGCCTCACCGCCACCTCAGAATCATCATTCACACCATCACCATCATCATCATCAGCAGCAACAGCATCGCGCCTTCGGCCTTGGCGAATTCTCGACCCAGCACAGCGTCGACCCTCTGCCCAAAGGTCAGTGCCTGATGCTTCCTTAGCCTTTGACTTTTAGCTTGCACTTGAGACGACGTCTCGTTGCAAGACGCGTAGCAGCGCATTATGGAGAGTACGGCGGCGATCCTTTCGTTTATAATGGATGGCCCGTAGTTTCCGCGATAGTACGGTTAGAATAGTCGTCTCTATTTGTTGCTCTTGTCTTTTACGATTGAACACGATACTTGGAAATTTGCAAGATTTTCCGCAAATCTTCGGTAACCATCAATGAGAAAAACCGTTTCGGGTCGAGACATTTTATTTCACAGAAATCTAATTCGGAATCTCTACGGAGAAAAAATACTCTTACATCAATAAGATTGGTCAACAGTTGGAGTAAATCTTCTCGATTCAATAGCGATATAATTGGAACTAATGCATACATAATAAATCATACATTGTTTTAGTAACTCGAATGTCAGTTTTAATAATATTGCTATTGAATCGAAATTTAATCCAATTACGGTACTGTTGATAAATTTATAAAATAGTAGTTTTTCCGTATGATATTTCGTTTTCATTTTTACAATTAGAGAAAAACGATGAAATCATAATTTATAGTTAAAATATTTGGAAATAAGAGAAACGAGGATCATATGAGTGCGGTTTCTGACCATCAATGCGGTTGGGCGCTGTTAGCTCATTATCGTAGATACTAATATCAGAAATTTTAAAATATCAATGATGACAGAGAGATTCTGACGGCTATATATAGTTTCTTTTGTCATTTGACGCTCTTAATTAAGCCGATCAGATTCTCCTGAGCGTTACTAGTTTCCGTCGGTTTCTGGAAATAGTTGAAACATGATGCTTGCGGCGATGGTCTAGACGCGACCCTTGGAAAAGCCACATTTCCTTCGTCGAGAATCGGATTCTCGCGTCACGCTCGTTCGGGATCGAGACATCACAGTGTGCTCAAGGAGAGCATTAAAGCGAATTGCGGGTAAACCAGGCATATGATGAGACGGAAATTTGCCGAACGCAGCAGGAAACAGCTGATTTTCTATGCAAATTTGCGATGATATAATCACGTAGTTGCATCTTCATGTATATGTACAATTTTGCAATTTTATCGCGCGTCTTATACGTATATATTAATATATATATATATCGATATATCGAGAATATATATCTATCGAAAATATCTACATCTGTTTATATATAAATATCTAACATAAATATCTAATATCTATCTATTAAAAAATAAAAAAATTTTATTGACGATTAGATAAAGATAATAAAGTTTACATTCGCAGAAGGTGTTTGGAGCGTTGGTATATTAGTGTAATTTTTCTTAGAAAAACATTTTTCTTTCCTCTAGTCTCATATTCCGAAAATATTCAAGACGGTAATAGTTATTACTTCATTTCGTATTAATATTAATCCTTTATTATTTATTTTCATATCTCTGTGATCCGATCTGTACATATAATGAGCTGAATACTTATCCTTCAATGCAGTATTGTACCTTGTAACATATGTTTGATATTTTCAATGCTTTCTACGAAGATCTTCGCAGATAGATACAAACTTGTAGCATACGCATTAAAGATGTTAATGCGTATTGTATATTTGGTAGAAGATTGACGCATAGAGAGGTCTCATTTCTTTCTTACTTTTCCCTTCGTACTAGTTAAAACTGAAAAATCGATCTACTTCCCGGAAAAATGTATAATTAATTTCAATTCGAGTATCTCTCGACCGTATGTTCAAGTTAACACGCACGCATTACGATATTGTTCGTAACCCGTAATACTCCGCGAATACGTCCTCTGCATCTCGAGCAAGGATGGTAAATCGAGGACGTCGTTAGCGGTAGTACGAAGCACGGACGCTTAATTAAGAGCGGACAAAGATTAAAAGACTACGGCAACCGTGATTATGACAGACGGTAAGCTATGATTTCTTTCCTGTTTATTTTTTTGCTATGTGCCGTAACTATTGTTCGGTAGAACGTAACCACATTATATGTCATTAGGGATAAGTTTCCGGGTCGGAACAACCTTTTTTTCTCTCCCTCCCTCCTCTTTCTCTCTCTCTCTCTCTCTCTCTCTTTCTCTTCTCTCATTCGATTAATGCTGGATAAATTGCAAAGGGACCAGACAAACTCGCGAGTTAATTCGTTAATGAAAGATACGATTAGCGGGGAAACTTCGTCGCTCCGTGAATTCTCAATCGGCTGATGTTTGTCGGGATCCTCGTTGTTTCGGTCTGAATTCTCGTCGTTGAGACGCACTCTCCAGGTGAGTATAAATGCCAACTTTTCTCATCGCGCGAACTTAATTCGCCGTGCTCGCGTTGAATCCCGAATTAACTTCCAGCCACGGAAAGTCTGCCAGAGATGTATTTTTAACACATTGTTGACCGGTCACGAGTTAACTCGTGTCTTTCTGCTCAAACGCTGCTGACCGGCCACGAATAAACTCGTGATCGATGCGCTTTTGTTTCGCATCGATCACGAGTTGGGTCAGTAGGTTTTCGGAGATCATACAGTGTAATTGTTGTTCAGCATACCACAAGCTGTGTCTTTCGCTAATAAAACCCGTTAAGTTGTGTCCTCTTTGAAATAAAAAAAAAATTTTAATAAATTCCAAGTAAAATTGCCGGTCAACAATGTGTCAAAAAAGTACTAGGAACTTTGATTTAAAATTGATTTTTAAATAAAAATGTTATGATAATTATTAAAAAACAATTTTTTTAATAATACCTGAAATGTACCCTATTTTACAATTTTTAAAAAATTCGTAAAAATTTATTTTCAAGTAAAAAAAGTTATGATAATGATTAAAAAAACCTAATTTTTTTCAATAATACCTAAAATGCGTCCTATTTTACAATTTCTGAAAGTTTGACAAACATTGCTTCATCAATAAAAATGTTATGACGATTTTAGTAACGTTTGCCCAAAAACGTGCGGTCCCAAGCGTATGTCTTACAGATTTCTTAGCGGTCCGCAATGTGTTAATCGCGGGCCAAATTCAATTTCCAAATTCAACTTCTGCGACTTAATCGCGCCTCGTAAGATTATTTCGTCCGTCAACAACGCGACAGATGTAAATTTTTGCGATATGCGTTTGTGCGCATCAAATAATTCTTCTCCCGAGGACGTGTATGATATTTTCACGCGCTTTCTGTGACGAACGACGACGGAATATCCGGAGAGACGTCGATATAAACAGATGTTCCCGTTACATGCGATAGACAGCCGTGAGCGAGCCGACTCGGGCGTAGCATTATTTTTCGCGCTCCACCGGTGCCGAGAGCCGTCGGTGCGTGAAAAGTGCGCTCACAGAAAGAGAGAGAGTGTCAAGTACATAGTAAAGATCACTCCCGATCAAGCGTTCATTCTTTTCCCCTTGTCGTTACGAAGCGTACTCGAGCGCGTTTGATCGCGGGACGTCGGTCGGTCGGCCGGCCGCGTCGTGGTAGATCGACTTTAAACGCAGCATCGCGCTCTCGTGCACAGTAACAAAATTGCGAGCGGGTCACCTTTAAGCGCACCTGTCATCGCACACCGTTGAAATTGAATACGCGTTTGTTTAAAATAGTTCGCGACGCGATCTAACAATATCGTTTTCGCATTTCGCGCGACATGTGACTCCGAATTCGTCGTTACCGGAATTTCCATGACACTTATATCAACACTTAATATCAATTTCAATTAGAAACGTCTAAGTATAATGTAAGAAAAAATACAAATGTTTTATAAGCAAGTTTCGTTGTATATTAAAAAAAAATGCAGATTGGTACAAGTTTAAATTATCTCTTATCGTCAATTTTCTGGGAGAGTAAGCAGAATTTCTATATAACTATCTTGGCGATTTTCGCCGCGGTTTATTTTTCCTATTTATCTTTTTTTGATTGTTTTGTATATTTTCTTTCTATTTGCTCACATATTATATATTTATTATTTCGCTTTTTATTATATATCTTTTTTTTACCCAAAAAGGGATCATGGTTTACAATTTTAACATTTATCACACTTATTCCTCCACACTCTAATATTATAAATTTTTCTGTACATTCTTTATATAACATATCGGTAAACCTTTAATTCTTGCACTTTTATATTGCCTTTTGTTTAATAAGATTTTTTGTCTATATTTTAATTATACAATCTTTCATTTCTATATATTTTCCTCTTACTACTATTTACTCATATTCCTACTTATTATACATACTAATATATTCATTCTTTATTCTTAACCCATTATAAATTATATCGCCTCATCCTATTTATTTTATATCTATAGCTTTACATATATCCTTTACTTATCTTTATCATGTTTTTATTATTTTTTGTATTATCTCTTCGTAACACTAATATTTGTATTAATATTTACAATCCACCTCACAGCTATAATCACAGTCTTTTATTTTTTATCTCTATATTATATTGTTATTCCTTATATTTTTTTATCATTATCTAATCCTCTTTTCTCTTTTTTTTTCCTTTTTTTTTTTATAATTTCCTTGCATCTAATTCATCATTCCTAATCTTTCCTAATCTTTCTTCTTTGTTACTACCTAACTTATTAAACCATTTTTTTGCCTCCTTACATTCCCCTGCATAATGTTTTATGCCATCTTGGCCTTCCTTGCATACTTTATTCCTATCTCCTGTGTTCAATATTTATTTTTCTTTTCCATATTTCCACATCTCACTCTTATTAACGCTCTTACCCCACCCCTATTTATTTGCTTGTATTTATTTGTTCTCGTTTCATTCTTTTACTTTAACCCGTTTGCCCGTTCGTCACGTTTCCGCTGTGTAATGTCTATTTACACGACACAACCGCATTTGATCTCGTTCCTGACCTGCTATCTTCTCGAGAATGCGAGGAATGCGTCTACCTGCTGAAAATGCTAAATCTGTAAGAACCCCTGCACTTCCTCGGGCGTTAACTTCCAAGACATCACGCGCAGCTGTCGAGAGAATCGACAGATGTGTCACGTGGAGTGATCAATTTCGGCTACTCGCAAGGGAGGAAAATAGGGGCGCGGGTGAGAAAATAGAGTTAGGGGACTTCCGTTAGGAGAATGTACCGGCAACGCTAAAAGACGCATACCTTATAAGGAGAGGCTTCCCGTGCGCGATACACATCAGCTGATATAGAATTATCGAGGACAGAGTCTTTCTAATCTTATCGTCGCGGCCGTACCTACGTGTTATCGAATACGTGAAGTCAGTCAGGTGTGTGCAGTGTAAACGGAATATGCGCGCGATTTCTCCGCGAAAATCTGGAGGATGTCTTCTTTCTACTTGTTCGATGAACATGAACATGATTTCCTCGGTAAACATTCCTTCCAGTCGTCACACCGTACCTTGCAAGGATTGCGCGAGTTTCAGTATCAATAATAAAATATAAACGTAGATTATAACGTTATTAAATGTTGTTTTTATTAGTCTTGTCATATTAAAAATTTATCTTTATCTATTCAAATTGTTATCGTTATTGTAGAGTTGTATATCGAACTTACGTTATTTTTATTTGCGAATATTTGCATGAATTAATTGGAATCGGGAAATCTGATTAACTGTCCACCGACGGTGTCTGCTTGCAGAACCAAAGAAACGTCGTTTTCATCCCCTACGTGGGCTCAGGAAGATCTTTCGGCGAAAGAGCCGCGGCGCCGCTGATGTGCGTCTCGTTTCCAATTCCGGCGATCGAGATGCGGAATTGGCGCGTCTCCCGCGGGAGGACATCACGGTGCGACATCCCGCAGGTCGCCCCGAAGAGGCTCGCAGTAGGAGCGCCAGCGAGCTCCTCACCGATTCCTGTGACAGGGAAAGGTAAGGAAATATCATTTTCACGTATTAGTTATAAGCAATCGCGGAAATAATTATTTAAGAAAATATTCGAATATCTCGACTCGTGAACTGGATTTCGGCAATTGATATAGTAATTAAATTTATTAAATTTACTAAAAATAATTAATGTACGATCAATCCGAGTGTCTATTCTTATTCTCATTTGACGTTGCTTCCTCATGAGATAAGAATTATTTTTATTTAGGCACGCGAAAATTGTTTATATAGATTTCGGCAGATTAAACGCGCTATCGAGTTACTCTTATCGGAACGACGATACTCGCGGTAATGCGAAATTTGTGTTATTATCATTTCAGTGGACGGCACGTCCGTTCGTCGAGAAGACGCAGTTTCGCCGCGTCGTTCAAGACGCGCGGATCGTTCAAACAGTAAATATCACGAAATGTATCCATCCGTCGCGGTAGATCCCCGTCGTAACTTGAATCGCTTATATATTTTCGCAGAACTTCCGATCGTTGTCTCATCATAGTCAAAATCACCTCATCGTATAGCGCATGTGGACAATAACGCTAACTGCGTCGGCGAAGTATCAGCTATTGATAACAATTAGTCTAATTAATCCATAATACCTCTATTAGACGTTGAACAATTTCACAGGGAAACGAGAGAGCTGCAGACACGGTGTTTGTTCGCGATCTAACGGCAATTGGAAACTATCTAACGATAATTTGACATAATCTTATCGCGGATATATTCAGACTTAGTTGAAATGCTATACTGTTATCCCTATAATAGTGTTTATCATCGCCGCTACCGATGAAAGTCTCTTCTTCTTTAATCATCGTATTTTTTTTTTTTTTCGTGTATTCCTCTCCCTTTGTAATCTTCGCGTTTATATTATCCATCCTTTCGAATTTCACTGCTCAGCGCATTTGTCGCCGATAGCAGATAATGATGTTCTACACACACACACATCTCCACGCCTTAATCTTTGGTAAATAAGATCGTACAAGAAGAATGCGCAGTGTCTCAGCTTGTTATTCTTTGATATTTGTTCAAGCATTTGTTATCATTTCTTCTCTCGCGCGCTATGAGAATTTATTTTCTTTGAAATAATAATGTAGCTTCTTTTTTTGTTCCTACGGTACGAGAATTTTTCGCCGTGCAAATTGGATTGCAGGTTCGATGTTCGTTTCGTTATCAATTTACGATCCTTGGCCCCGTTTCACTCGTCCTCATCCTTTATTTTTGTCCTCGTGGAGCACAGCCTTTACGTCGCGGTGGCACGAAACTTTGTCCTCGCGTCTCGCGTGCGTCCGCGTGATTCACGGTGCGGCAGCGAGTATATAACGTCGTATCTCAATATTATTACAACGAGACGGAATAGTTTCTGCCCCTTAGAAGTTTCGTCATAGGAGATGACAGAGAAGGACCGTATAATTATCTATCATCGTTAACGCGCACATTATTTTTAAAGCCTAAATAAATCACTCGTCGTCTTAATTATGGATATATTAACAGAAAATAAATTCTATCTCTCGAATGTTTTTCTTACCATCTCGTGCGCTTTTCCTCTTTGTGGAAAATTATGAGCGACGGTTTTCCTTGACGAGACTCATTTTTATTGATTTTCTTTTTCACACACCGCTAAATTTCCTAAACATTTCCAAATATAGCATAAATTTTGATCAGAATATCCAAACTTATTTCAAAGAAGTGTAAATAAGTATAATATATTATGATACCAATTAGGAATCCCTTTCTTATCTCATAGTTATAGGAAAACTTCAGGAAAACGTTAGATAGAACAAATGGAATCTGCCTAGGTTTCCTATTTAGTATTGACTTTATTTAGTTAAATGGGATATATCTCAATTATAGATCCAATAAAATTTTCTATATAGAAAACCAGATAGGTTCCATTTTTCTCGTCCAACATTTTCCCACAGTTTTGTTTTTTTCAGATTTCTATTTTATGTGTCTATGTTGAACGAAATATCTGAAAAGATTTGAATATTCATGCGCGTTTTACAAATATATAAATAAATACTTAAAAAGCATAAATACTTAAACTAGCCATTTCAATCCTTGGCAACTTTTGAAAACTTTGTAATAAGAAATAAAATTATTTTTATAGATATTCCCAATCATAAGTAAACTTTAGGAAAATGTTGGCCAGAGCAAATGTGGAATTTGTTTGGATTTCTTACTTAGAATCATCGCACTTTTTAAACATAACTGTAATTCGAACTTTCGCATATTTCCCAATCAGAATCCATAATTTTGGGGGGAAATCGGAATAGATTCCAATCAGATCTCAGAAAATTTTCTGTGCGGTTATCTTTACATTTTTTACTTTCAAGTGACTTAATGTTAACGTCCACGCTATTTTTCCGTATTTTCAGCGTATTCCTCCGAAGAGGAGGCGGCACAGAAGATAATTTCGCGAAGTTACGAGGAGGCGCCGCCAAATTGTCGGTGTCGCACGACAGCGTTTTCCCGGGAGAAGTTCCTCACACTCGGCCTCTCTCCTCGCTGGCCAGCCTGGCAACGCTCGAGGTCAGTGCTCATTCTTTTATTCACGGCATTACAGAATACCGTAGAACCGTACCGGACTATTGTAAATTTCAAAATAATGACGACGTTCAAGGAAGCGTGAATGATTTCGATCGTCGGACATCGGACAGAAATCGCTCGTCGGCCGTCAAATTTGACGAAGTCCGAAGGTGTCTCGCAAAACATCCAGACAGAGATATCTCAGAGATGCGCGCGGCTAAAGCGAAGGAAATCATTTTTTGTTGCTTCAGGTATTTCGATAAATTCGTAAATTCCGGCGGAATTCAGTCGTACGAGTTTCACACGGTTATTGAAAGAAAGAGATCCAACGCGAATACCCAACCGTTGACAAACTAACTCACTGCTCGTTTTCTACGCCGTGCTTAAAATATTGATAGCACATTCGCGTAAAAGGACACGCGAAAGAGATAGCCGCGTGAGGTTTTCTTCTTACGGCGCCGATGAAACTTGCAGCAACATTATAATTATCCTTAAGAACTCGCTAATTGTGACGCAAGTACTGCGTGCACGTGCATACATAAACGGCGGTCGGCATCGCGCTCGTGTCCGGCGCGCTTCGCGGTGTTCACTCGTATCATTTACATATCCGTAAATTACACACGAATGCGGAGATTCGCGAGTCGTGCTCGCTACTGCGTGAAGCGTAAACGGCCGCGGAAGAAACCGCGGCAGCTCCTTCGCGTCGTTGTCCTCGTCGTCGTCACGCCGTGTCTCCTCTTCGCTCGCTCGTGCGCGCGCATTTGAGAGTGTAGAGAGAAAAAAAGCGAGAGAGAGAGAGAGAGAGAGAGCATTCTAAGCACGTGCGAATCGAGTTACACGATTAGTTACACGTGTTCACATCGGATCCGTGACTCGTCTTTTAATTTCTTCTAGAATCGTACAGGACAGCGATCTTCATGCGCGCACGCACGTGCATAATTTATAAATAGGAGAAAGGGGAGTAAGATGACGAAATGGATGAGATGATGATTTGCTAATTTTTCTAAACTAATAACAAATAACGAGTCGGTCCCCTATTCATTGGAGGTTTTTAACAATAATAATAATAATACATAATAATAATTTGTACACGGAAAAAATATTGTAGTAAAAATTACCACAAAATTTTGTAATGCTGGACCGTACCAGAATAATGGCTAAAATGATTATATGTGTTTTAATCTTTAGTGATGTACGAGATACATCACTAACGATTGCAACATACATCATAATTTCAGTCATAATTTCGATATAGTCTAGTATTACTAAATTTTTACTACAATATTTTCTCCATGTAATTTAACCTGTCAACGATAGTAGACATTATAAAAAGTGTATCTTGTATACACAAAGCCATATGTAATTTTGTGATATTTCTTTATAAAGAACTATACGACTTATAAAGAACTATACGACTATAGTAAATATTTTTNTGATTATTTGTATATTCGTATATTATTCGTATATCTTGCTTTAAATTATATATATGTATATATATAATATTTATATAATATTTATATTTATATTATATTTTTATTATATATATTTATATATTTTGCTTTAAAAATTATATGATTTTAAATAACTGTTTTTTTTTTATTTTTGTTCTTATTTAATTTAATTTTCTTTTCTTTAAGTTATATTATTATACAAATCAATTTTTATTCATAATTAATATTTTTATTTTATTTTATTTGTATTTTATATGTATTGTGCAGACATAATAATAAAATAATATGAGAAGTTTGTGAAAATTATTTTTTATCTGTATAAAAAAATCTATTTTTTAATCTTTGTCATCTTATCCACATATGGGGGCAAAAGTCGATGATATTGACCCATTTCCAAAAAATTTAAATTAAACAATAGTCCAATTTATTTATAAATTTTTCATTTTATGCAGATGATGGGCAAGGCTTTGGTTACTGAGAAAAAAAATTGATTGCTATTTTTACGTCATTACGAGAATGAGGAAAAGTCGGCAAATAACAGAATCATCTTTACTACTCTTCCTCCCCCCTTTCTCCTGCACACGCCGGATTCGAGTGCGGGGCACTGTTATCGCGAATTGCGCAAAAGTGACGTGATGAACTTTATGCGCAGTAGCGCTTAATTGACGAACAAACGGTGGATCTAATTAACTGGCTGACACGTGTCGCTTTGCGTTTCTTCGAGCCCGGCTTACTTTTTCTCTCGTCGCGCGCACACCGTTACTTTCCTTGGTTATTCTTCCTCTCGCACACATACCTGCGGAGATGGTATCTCCTGCCGTTTCTCTCTTTTTTTTTTTATTGTTCGGTTTCCGTCGGTTTACGACGTATATATCGCTTACGACGGCCCGAACAACAGTTATCCTCTTGTAATACTGTTATAGCGTTGAATTTATCAGTATCCGGAATAGTATAGTAGCAGTAGAGAACGCGAATGACACTTTGTGTGCGTCTTATCTTGCTGCGGATTTACCTGTATATGTAGCGTACTTGACCGAATGTCGAGTTCGTTTCCGCAGAACGTAGTTTTGCAGGACGGATTTTACTTCGTACTTGAAAAATCCGCACGCGCCGATCGGCGAATATTGATTTCACGCATCGTTCGCAAGTTCGTAAGATGAACGATCCCGCGCTCGCGCTCCTCCGGCCGCAATTATCGCGATCAGTCGATAATTATCGTGGTGATCCGTATATCAGAATCCTCCGCGGAATGTGGAACGATCCTTTCCATCCTTTCTATTTGCGAGAGAAAAATCAGGAGCACGTTCCGTTCTGATACTCGAGGAAAGTCACGAATAGTTTTCACGTTCGTGGAAAACCGCCCGGCCGACGACTTGCGCGCGGAGAGCCTCGTCTCTCGCTAATTATCGCTGTCACTGTGCGTTCTCTTCGTGTTTTGCAGCGACGGCAGGCCCGGAAGAGCAACGAGATCATCGAGCACAAGGAGTACAATCATCACGTTGCACAAAGGCACCGGATATCCCTGCGGGTAATTCGCGGAAGCTTTCAACATAACTCGTAAAAGCTCATAAACGCGCGCCAGCGTGAAGTCGACGATCGACGCCCACCCGAACGATAAACGGTTTCGCGCGAAAAAAAAATGCGTAACACAGCTTTTTTATCGCCGTGTTATTTTTCCGTTGGAAATACATTTTTCGCTCTTCACGCTTAACGTGCACGACAGCCCAATATAGATGGCGCGTATCGGGACACGGTCTATTCTGAATTGCCGGAATACGATATTTCTGCTCTTTAATTTTTACGTTTTTTTCGAGCACAGCTATCGGGGGAAAAATAATCCATAAAAACTTCGCGCTTCGGGTTACGGTTCTGCGTCGGATAAAATTTCCGCGCACGACAGTCCGCGGTGCAGCTCCGCGTGTAATTATCGGCCGCTACTTGCGGTTTGTTCACAGGTACTCGAGCAAATAAAGACGGTCATAGAGAACCGGAACCAACTGGCCTCGGCGACCTCGCCGGACACAACGCCTAGTATAGCGTATGTGAGTATCTGTTCTGTGGATTTAATTCGTCGGATCTAAAGTAAAGACTGTTGGCTTTGTTGGAGAACTCTCGTTCGATTATTGTTCCTCGTGCGCGATTTTTCTTTTAAATTGTCAGTTCAAAATTTTCTTTGTTAAAAATTGTCTTTATCGCACGGTAAAAAGTTTTGTGTTAAATTTTACACATTTCACATGTCTCCAACGGAATCATCTTTACTACTCTTCCTCCCCCCTTTCTCCTGCACACGCCGGATTCGAGTGCGGGGCACTGTTCACATGAGTTTTTCTGTTAATTTAACACAAGAAAAATTTATTGAGAAGTAACAGAAATATTATGTGAAAAATTAGTACAAAATTAACATCCATAGTACAGTTTGATTAATGAGAGACCGCGTGTAAAGTTTTCACTTTTACGGCGAGCGCGAGACGATATTTCGAGAATAAAAAGGAGTCTCCGCGTGTGACGCGTGAAAGAAAGTCGGCTGGCTGGTCTTAATAAAGACCGCAGAAAGCAAGAGGCTCTAAGCAGTGATAGCTCCTGCGGATAATTACCGCGCGCGCGCGTTTCACCCATTTTTTTCCCCCTAATATGTGGCACTCGGAGTGAGTGACGTCACGTTTCGCTTTTGCGTTTCAGGCTGCCGGCGAGCGGTATCAGCAGGAAACCACCGAGGTGAGATAGTGCGACGGCCGGTACTTTTTATTCCGTCTGTGTCGGCGCGCGGTCGTCGAGCGCGTTTCGAGCCGCTGGTAGTAACGTTCGCGCGTTGCAGTAATGCACTCGACCGATCTCGATCTTGCTTTTCGAGTGGTGATTTAACGCACCCCGCTCCTTCGACCCTCTTACGGGATATATCGGCATTGCGAATCCGTGTCGCGTCGTGCCGCCCCTTCTTATCTCGATATCTCGTCTTCTTTCGCCTTCCTCGGAGGATGACGCAAGGATAGATTTTTACCGAGAGAGTGTGTCAGGCGAGCGCGATAATAATCCGCCGAGGTTTCTCGAAAATGAGCAACAATGCGGCCCGCCCGAAACCTGTGCGCAAGATGCTCAATAAGGTCCTACTCGTGTCCTCGATAGTGTCCTCCTTGAGGACGAGAATAGGGGTAAGAAGATGATAACGAAGACGATAAGGAGGAGGCCTCCTCGTTGTCTCGCTTTCTTCGCGCCGGGCGGTCAAAAATCGCAGCCTTGCCGCGGTGACAGCCTGTCATCGACTTTCATTCCTTACGTCACTCTCGCGTTTAGCCTCTCGCGTGGTAAAAGTAAATTTAGCCGCTCGTAACCCGCGACCGATTGATCCCGTGTGAAAATTCGTTCACGTTCCAACGAGATGATCGTGTGTTCACGATTACTCTCGCTCGCTCGCTCGTTTATTACGCCCGTTGCGTTCTCCGACACATGTCGGTAAATTGATTCGATGGACAGCGAATGATTAATAGTGAGGGACGGGAATATAATCAAATAATTAACGTTGTCAGTCCCGGAACGTTAATCAGGCTGGGTTTTCTGTTCTTCCAGAACCGCTTCAGCGTCTTCGAGAAGCACGAGAGGAGCGTCGACGACGGCCACCAGCAGGGAAAGGTGAGTGCAGCCGATCTTTAAGCCGAGGGTAAATCCTCTACCGGTTTCGCCATTCGTCTCGCCGCGCCCGAAAGGGAAAAACACGTCTCCGGATATCTTTGCTTAATGGAGACCCGTCGTAAATCAAGCCGGCGAATTTCTGCCGGCAACAGGTGGCGAATGGCAGCCGATAAAGACCCGTTAATCTCGTGTATCTTCCTCCATTATTGGGTAACTCGCACGCTGCACTTGTTACCAACGTTGTGCCAACGAATCGTCCGGGGAACGTGGGGAACTGGTTTTTTCGTCGTTGATTACGATAGGATTTACGTCGCGAGTCGCATTGTCACCTTCCGCATGCGGGTGATACACCGCTGTCCTTCTAACGGGAACACCTCTTTAAGGTAGTCGTTCGACGAAGCTGTCACGTCCCACGCGCGTGCCCATTCTTCTCTTTCTCCGGGACGCTTTATGTTATTGCTCTTAAGTCCGAATATTTGCCTTGACTTCGAAGATCGGCGAACAGTGGGACATTGTGACGTGTCCTCGCGACGAACAAAGTCGCTGATCGCCGTGGCGATGGAAAAAGAGCGCTTACGGAAAAGTTTTTGTAGCGGGCATTCACCGGTGCACTGATATTTCGTTCATTATCTATCGTCGCAAACGATAAAGCCGAAGGCTGAGCTCATTATTATCATTGTATTGTGTTTGAGGCTCCGTTTAATTTTAGGTATATTTTATCGTTATTATTATCATCCACGCTATATATAAGAGAGATGAGAGACAATTGAGACAATTTTTGGGACATTTTGTCTTCTAGAACTGTTTTTTCGGATTTCGTAACATAAAAAATTGAGGCTGATTTGTTACTTTACTGTGGAGGTTAATATAAAGTTTGAATTATCTTAATAATTAAGAACGTAATTAAGTAATTTGTAAAGTCGATTATTTGTCCCAACTTTTTCCGTATCAAAGAGAAATGAAATAGATGAAATGGAGAATTGAGACAAAATATAATAGAAGTAACTATACTTTAATTATTAATACATTTATTGTTTTTAATTTTTAATTACAATATTTATTAAAGTCATATATATATATATATATATATATATATATATATATATATATATATATATATATATATATATATATATATATATATATATATATATATATATATATATATATATATATATATATATATATATATATATATATATATATATATATATATANCTTGAAAAAAGTTTTAAATATAAAATGGAACAATTGGTTTTTTAAACAATAATAAAATTAAATTTAAATATTAAATTTAAATGTAATAAAATTAAATAAAATAATTAAAAACAAATTATAGAAAGGACAATTTTTTCTTCATTTGCTTATTATTCTTAGTAGCATGAGTTTTTAGTTTGGAAATAATTTAATTAAAGCGATAAATAAGTAATAAATAAAAATTATTAATTAAACCTGTTTTAAAAAAGGCAATGAAAGTAAAATTGTGTAGAAAAATTATAATAATATTAAAACTGTTGTAGTATATCAAAAATTTATTAAAATGTAAGAAAACATATCAAGAGAGAGTTGGGACGTCCTAACTCTTCTTCAATGAAATATTCCAACTCTTCCTGATTGACTTTTTTACATTAAAATAGTTGTCAAAACTATTAGGTTAAACATTGAAGTTAGACTACAAAAAACTTATGTAAAGTTTAATATATTAGTATGTGTTGAATAAGATTCTTATAAATGTAACCGTCAAAAGAGATATCATAAATATTATAATGAGAACATAATCATTTTCGATAGTCAGGAATGTAGCTTCTCTCACTTTGATGTAATATTATATTTTTTACAACTTCGTAAACTAAATTTTCATATCTGTCACATAGAGGCACATCAGCTGTGTTTTAATCAAAAGTATACTACCAACTATTAGGAAGAAAATAATTCTGTTCCAACATTCCTCATCTTTCTTACTCTTGATATATAGCGGCTTGTGACTGCCCTCTCCCCTCCCTCGCATAATTTTCTACGAATAAAGCAAATAGGTAATTTTTACCAAATTTTCAGAACACCGAAAATTGAGTAGCATTTACCTTAGATAATAACGTTATACTCTTAAGCGAAATCTATCTTTACTCGTCAACCAGAATCAGAAAGTTATGGCGCTCTTTACCACTTGAAATGCTCAAAAATTAATCGAAAACATGCCAAGAAGGTGTCAAGTTATAATTGACAATGGAGACGACTGGACCCATTATTTAATTGTGCAATATCTTTTTGTATTTATTTTAATATAGCCCTAAAGTCTTTTTTTTTTAAGTTGTATATTCTCGATATGCTACCGTATACTTTCTTGTGGAACGGGCTGTAAATTATAAAATTAATACTTATTATTTAATTCAGATATTTATATCGGATAACTAAGAATAGTCGATAATGTCATTCTTCTTCAATTAACTTCGAGTCACCGCACGAACATTTACGCAAGGCTGAGGATTTTTGATATTACCTCATCGATGCGTTACGTAATGTAACGGATACTGGATACGGACTGAATACTAATTTGGATATTCAACTGTTTTATGTTGCTTATTTATATTCAACTTTCTTTGTACAGTCTATTATATATAATATTTACTTCAGAATGGCATAATTCTCAGAGAGAAATTATGCGTGATTGACGTTGTCAATGCTCAAAATTTTACTCTGCTATGCTCTTTTCATACGTTTCTTGTTTTTCAAGCAGCTACTTCGATCACGTGATTTATCTTGACATTAAAAATGAGCGTCGAGCGTCAACATAAAAAGGCACCCTTAGATTTAAGTGAAGATTTAACGTTAGATATCGTAAGGATATCGGTGATATTATTCGCATTCTTGCTCATTGGTCACAATTTTTGTTGATCATTTGATACGAAAAAATACGAACGTTAAAGAAGACGAAGGTGCGGTCAAGAGATCGCAGAGAGGGGGGAGGGGGGGGGGGANGGGGGGGGGGGGGGGGGGGGACGTTTCGATAGCGAGCGTAGGAACAAGGCGAGGAACGGTGTAATGGCAGGGTGCGATACAAAGTTTACTGTTACTTGGCCCGTGGCCTGCTGCAGCGGCACGGATCAACACGCGGAGCGTTTCGACGCGCCTTCTGAGTTCCATCGGCTCGCTTTCATTATTGCGTGATAGACATACGGACAGACAGACAGGCAGAAGTAGATTTGTTGTATCCTGGAAAAGAGATGGAGCAGGTAGAAAGGCAGCGAGGCAATTTATACGGTCATCGGTACACAGAGTGTGTCGAGAGCGACTATAATTCACTTACTAGATTTTTTGAATTTTAGTTTGACTTTTGTTCCCTTATTAAGTCAACGTGTACGAGGCATGTCTCGTTATCGGGATATCGTTTAATTTTCACGAAAATATCATTTATATTCTGAGAATTTAATTACTCGACTTATAGAATACTTGTATATAAGTTGAAAATAACCTGATCGCTGTTGAATCGCTATTTGAAGGTGAAAAAGCATTTTAATTTGATGTTGAGTTGTATTTTGATCTCGATTTAGAGACTGCGACAGCTCGCATTAGTGTTCGCGAGAATTAACGAAAGCCCACTCGAGCAGTCATTTAATCGTATATCGTTAAGAAATAAGAGCCTGTCTGTGATATATTGTTGACAAATACCGCTTTAAATTGAGAGATCTACCTTTCTTACCTTTGTTGAATCGTACTACGACCTCGGTTTCTCGTTAAAAACGGTGGCGGCACATAGTGGAGACTTTAGAACTAATTAAAGTAACAGTCGGAACTCAAACCCTTTTCAGCCGAGACTCAAACCCGATTGAGTTGAGTGTATTAGTTTTCAAGCGTCGCCGCTAGATGGCGTTGGCAGCCCGTTAGGTTGTATCGGCAGATCAGCTGTTATTCCGTTTAGTTCCTAAGTCTCCGCTATGGGTCGCCACCGTTTCTACGCCATCAAGTCGAGGGAAATCCTAGGAATGAGATGGTCGATGAGAGGACCAGAAAAGCGGCTAAAGGAGAATCTTTTATAATCGACGCGAGATTTATGGAGGTCACACGGCCTCCGATCGACGTACGTATGTACGGCTTGACATTTGCGACGCGAGTCCAGCAGACTGTCGGTAAGCCAGTTTGATATTTGCCTGGCATTTGTTGCACCGCAATTTGCTTTCGCGTCACGGCAAGGCCGGAGAATCCTTACAAGTCCTTCTAACGGATTACGAACGAGCGCGTCTATCGCAGCCGAGAGTCGTCTCTATTGTCGAATATTACTTTTACGAGATTAAATTATGATAAAATGAGACAAAATTATTATAATTTTATTGGATAGAGTTATTTGACAAATTTAACACTAAACCTACTACGGCCGGTCAAATGACCGATTTGTAATTTTTTCTTATAAAAGTTTCTCTAATTTCTAATGGTGTATTCTCTGAGATTTCTCGTAATTTTTGTCGCAATGTGTGAACGAATAAATATTTTGTTCTTCAGCATTACGAATTTTTTCAAACATCTTATTTAAACTGCTTTGGTAGGAAAATATCGTCGATAGTAATAGTGTTACAAGAAATCAATTTCCATCCAAATTATTACAATATATTCGCTACGAAATGTTATTCCGTAGAATTTAACTTCTATATGGAGAAAAATAATTAGTTAAATTAACGTGACAATAAAGGAGTNATATATAAATCAGATTTTTTTTTTTTTTTTTTTTTTTTTTTTAAGAAACAGAATTTCTACCCTGGAGAAAAAAGTTTTTTTTGGATTTAGTATTTGTTTGATATTGAGTTGATGTATTTGTTTGACTTTGGGCTTGTTTAATATATAAACAAATAATAATTAATTATTGTAAACATAATTTATTATCAAATATTTTGTTTGAATAAAAATATTATTGCTTCACTAGAGTAAACTAAATGTATATTTTTTTATCTTAAAAAGTTTCCTTCTTAATGTAAAAATTTATTGTTATAAGTAAATATATTATCAGTACT